ATTTTTCTTTTTTGTTGTTGTTGTTGAAAAAATAGTATTATCCTTTAAAGAATTTTCACTCTTTTGTCTGCTAAGGTTTTACCATAGTTGCAAACATATCTGCAAGCCACAAATATTTATACCAATTCAGCTCTGTGAGAAATGCAGATTCAACATTATAATACTAGCTAAGGTATATCCAGTGCTGCCAGGGTCCATACCCAATAGCCCCAAAACATTTATCTACCAACACCTTTTTTGCTGCATTCACACTACAGAAATAATCTAAGTTGATAGTATTTTAACTGCCATGGCTCAGTGCTATGGAATTCTGGGAGTTGTAGTTTTTGGAAACATTTAGTCTTCCCTGACAGAGAGCTCTGGTGTCCCACCAACTACAGTTCCCAGCAGTGAGCTATGGCAGTTAAAGTGGTGTCAACCTGGATCATTTCTGCAATGCAGACACAACATTTTAGTGGCCTTGAGGATATTTTCATCAGTAACTCAGAGAGCTCTCTCTTATTTTCCTCCCTGATCCACTTTAACCTCACAGATCCTAATAGCAGTGTTTTAGCCCTCTTCTGTTTTCCCATTTTTTCCTGCCTCAGGAATCCTAGCAGCAATGACCCCAAGAGAGTCCTCTCCTGTTGAGCAATTCCTAATGAGTTTTGGCAGAGCATGCTTTTTTTTTTTTTTTTTTTTGTGCTTCTAGAAGTCCCGCATTTGGACTTTCAACTTAAAACTGGGCACTTCAGTTTGAACAACAACTAAAACCAACTGGTTAAATTTTTAAGATTAAGTTCCCTTGGTTTCCCAGTGAGTTATGGCTGGTCCCCATCCTTGCTTCTAGCTAGTCCTTCTTGTTAAATTTTGTCAAAGTTCTGCAACTTTCATGACAATCAAAAACACTCTGACAACTTTTGAGATATCTAGCGTGATACCCCAATGAATTATGTCTACCACAGATAGGCGGACATACAGACATTGTTTTTTACGAAAAGAAAAAACACCTTTTATTAAGTTCAAATACATTACAAAGATGTACTGTACAAATTAAGAACAAAGACAAAAGGGTGCTAGAAGGGTGTATATCAACTGCTGAAGACCATGGAGAAAGGAGACATTAAAAGATTACTGTTTTTTCTGTCATTTTTTTTATTTTAATAATAAGAATATATATATATATATATATATATATATATATATATATATATATATACACACACACACATACCATCCATTCCAGCATACATACATTAGTCTAGAGTATTTCAACAACATAAACTTTATCTATCAACTTCTTTCTTAATAAATGTATTAAATCATAATTATTTTATTTAATTAACATTAGTAGCGGGGTCTATTGGAGTTTTATCTTAATTAAATTAGCTACACCTCATTAAATTTCATATCTTAAACTTATTTTCAAACAAGTTTTCAAATCAAAAGTCCTTATATTATAAATCTATTTCATTAAATCCTTGTAGTACTATATGCCCTATTCCTATCATATTGTTACATCCACAAAGTTTTCTATTTTAGCCCATTTCCTAATATATTGCATATCCTGTTTGTCATTGATCAACATTGTCATTTTATCCATATACATCATGTCCTTTAGTTTCTTTTTCCATTCTTATATTATATACAGTGGTACCTCTACTTATGAAATTAATTCGTTCCAGCAGCC